ACTACGGTATACTGGTGTGATTGAAAGCCGCTGGTAGCAGACATTAAGTCTTTGACTTTGGCCTATGACCAGATTCTTGCTTCCACTGAAATGTTAGTAAGTGTGATTATAGAATGTGCTGATCTTATACAGTTACTTATATGGATTAAGCTAATTTTACCTAGTATTTTACTTATTGTTAATTTATTAAGTCGTAGGTTATAGGTATTTGGATAAAGAACAATACTTTAAGGCACCTTTTTGAGACATGCCTTATCACAAATATTTCTTCCTTTCATTGTGATTTAGTGAATTTTTTCTTAACATAAAAGCTTGCTCAATTAAATAACAAATATGCAGCAAAAATAATTTTTGAACTTGTGTCACATTGGAGTCAGGTTGTAGAGATTTTTGTAGGTTGGGAGAAGTTTCAAAAATTGGAGAACAAATCTACTTATAGCAATAAGATCCATGTTCTTTACAATCAACTGGTTGAAGACACAATCTCAACCCCAAAGGACCACCCAATCTCAATTCAAAATGATGTATTCAATTACCTGTAAACAAAACATAAGGAGAAGGTTTCTGCTACTATTAAAAAAAACCTTGAAACGGTAACAAAGTCTACTATGAAGAGAAGGAAGGGACTCAAGAGAGAGTAAGGAGACAGCCTGTCAAAGATATCCATCAAAGAGTTAATTTTCAAGCAAAAAGAGGTCCAAAAAAATGTCTTTGTAATCGTGGCTAGGTTCCATAGCTAAAGCTAATGCAAAGACAAGAAAATCCCACAAAAAAGAAAAATAATCTCAAGCAGATTGAGAAGTGCCATATCAAGCTCAAAGCCAAAAAATCGTCAAGTTTCTAAAAAATCAGTTGAAAGAGGAGATAGAACGACAAGTCACTGCAAACATCATCACACATAATCGGAGTGTAATAATATCAATATTATTAATTTTATCATATTATTCTAGTTAACTTACTCAGTCTACTTTGGAAGCATAACTATCTCATGGATTGTGATTCCAGCTTGTTTTTCCACTCATGTTATAACACTGCAGTGGCTTTAGTGAATGCCAAATGATTCATCTCAAGCACAATCTTTGTTGCTCTCAGTTATGAACTATCTTGAGCACCAAATTGTCCAATGTTGTTCAATATCACTTTATATTTGGCAAATTCATTCTTTTTATCATGTACATACAATGTATTTGTGTTATATGTTTGTATATATTTACACGGTTGCTAATGCCACCACATCTTTGCTATTGCTACTACAACTTATTTTTATTAGCTTTTTAATTATTTTTTGGATAAAAATTAAAATTATTTTTATATAATTTGAAATATATATATATATATATATATATATATATATTGGAAATATTAATAGAGTATTTTTTTAATTCAAAAAAGAAAAATTATAGAAATATGTTGTGGGTGGCAAGTTGTAGTAGCAATAGTGAAATTTGTGGTGATATGTGGTGAACAACAAATTATGGTGGTAGTAACAAATATGTTGTGGCATTAGCAATACTTTATATTTAAATCTTATTTTACAGATTTTTTCATGGTTATTTGAAGTCTTTGAATGTACTATATAAAATCTTTGTGAATGTAGAATACAACAAAATTATAGAATTTATAAAAGATTACACAATTCAATCTATATTGCACTATATTTATAAGATTAACACCATCAATAAAAGAAAGTTTTGCATGAAATTTCTAATAAATTTGGTAGAAAATCATCTTTAAATTGATATCAATAAAGTATCTTCTATCTACTATTTTATAAAAAAAATCTCAATTTGTAACTATATATATATATACATATATATATATATATATATATACACACATACACACACACACACACACACACACACATATATATATATATATATATATTAGTAATAAATTTAAAAAATAATATATTTTTTATTTTATTAAAATTTATTTATTTTATCTAAATAAAAAAAATCCTTTGTATTATAATTTCGTTGACTTAACATAAGTTAACTTTAAAAATTTGTTGAATTGGTCCTTGAATCTTAAGTTTTTAACTAATTTATCATTTATTTAATATTAATATTTTAAAGGTGACTTGATCATATAATATTTTTTGTAATATTGTCTATATATACTTAGAATATATTTATTATTTACTTAATAAAGAAGACGATCTATTTTATTTTATTTTCTAATTTTATTTAGGATCAATTTTAATTCAATTTATGTCATTTTTTATAAGAATTATTTTAACAACTAAAACATTATTATTATTTTGTAAGATTAATTTTAATTTAAAATAGGCTTAGGAATACTTCAAATTTTAAAAAATTATTAAATTTTAGAATTTTATTATAATTAAAAAATGATTTGATTTTTTCAGTTTAGAATATTTAACATCAAATAAATCAATGTCCAATAAAATAAATAAATAATTTTATCACGACCAAAATTTGTAATATAATACTTGGTATATTTGTAATATAATATATCTAGTATAAAGTGTGAAAATAGTAAATAAAAATAAAATAAAAATAAAACTTCAAAAAGAAATATTGAAAAAATTAAATATATATAATAAAGTAATAAGGATAGTATAAATTAAATTTTCTTAAATTATTAAAAATAGATTAATTGTTTTAAATAACTCACATTGTGCTTTATGAAAATAAAAACTATTTTAAGGATTATAAATAAAAAAAGAAATAATAATAATAATAATAATAACAACAGCTAAAATAAAAATTCATAGATCATATCAAAATTTTGTCAATAAATTTATTAAAACTAATCCTACAAACACAATACAAGATTGCTTTAGCAAAATTAAACAAAAAATTTAAGAAAATTTCTTAATTGAAGGAAAAAAAAAAAAAAAAAAAAAAAAAAAAAACCTTCATTATGTAATAAAATTATAATAACTAATTCTTAGTAGCTTTCAAAACAACCACAAACTTCAGAAGATAGTAAAAATAATAAAATTTAAAAAATCTATCTATTTGTATAATATATTTATTATTATTTTGATTTTCTGATTTTATGATTTTTTAGCAATAAAAATAAAATTAACCATAGATTTTTAAAAAGTATAAAAGGATGTAAATTTAGTTTCTTCATAATCTAAAAAAAGCAATAAAAATTTCTAAAAGGATATATCAAAGAGCTACAAAGTTTCTTAGTTTAGATTATTCTAAATTATTTTTTAAAATACTTATGAAATATTTTTTAATAAAATTTAAATATTCCAATTGTAATTAAATATCATTTTTACCATCAATTTAATAAATTTTTATATAAATATACTGTGAGAGTTGCAATGTAAAAGTTGTAAACTTAAACTATGTAATTAGAATAAAATGGCCTTTAAGATGGAATCTTACATATTAATTACTTGATTTCTTTTTATTGGAGTAAAAAATTAAAAATTAAATTATTTATTATAATTGAAGAAATAACATACTAAGAAAAAATAATCTACATAAAATTAAAAGCAAATAAAACTTATTGGTTTGTTAGTAATCTTTGATTCTTTGGATAAGATTCATTGTCAATGCTCTAAGTAACCAAAAATTAGGTATGGTTGAGGCACTTTTACATATTTGTATAGTATACTTGCCTTTTAAAACCTTATATATCTGTATATGATTTTTTTATTTTTTTCTTTTAGGTCAATCATGGCATTAAAGCTTAAAATAAAAATAAATAAAAAACACAGTAATTTTTTTTTATAAAAATGGTGTTGCATCAGAGAATTTTTAAAATCAGAAAATAAAATAGAGTCATCCATGATTGAATGGGTTAATTATATGTCGCTGGATTATTTATAATTCACAAATATATCACCACCTGGTCTTCGACTTTCGCGTTTTCGTTTTCGCCCACTTTATACGTTTTCGTCCCCATGGACGTTTCGTTTCGGTTTCGTCGACGTCCCCGCTGAGCATTGCAGCCAAGTCTCGCTCGCTCTGCGCCTGCGAAGGAGGCGACGATGCTTCCTGAGCCGGGCATTTCAGATGGATCCGATTCAGTGACGCTGGTTTCGTAGCCAGTTTGCGGGCATTGAATCTCAGGCTTGACGGAGTTTCGAAACCCACTTGGGACTTTCAGCCTTCATGGAGGCCCTGGAATCCTCTCGAATCTCTCGCACCTCAGCCCTGTCTTGCACAACAAGTTTCCTTCATCTTACTTCATCTCTGATAAACCCCTTCTCCGCTTCTCATGCCCACTCAATCGAACGCTTTCAATTGCTCTTCAACGTCTCAGTGGTTCTGATCAGATTCTCAATTGCTCATATAGGGTTGATCACTTTGCGCATATTTGAATCGCAGAGCTTGGTGGCGATCGTCAGGTTTCCTCAAGGTGGGTTTGGAGGGGGGCGGGAACGGAGGAATTTAGGGGGTTGGTCGGTGTTGGGTTTTTGTAGCGGGCTGCGGAATTGAGTTTAGAGTCGGAAATGGAGTTTCCCGATTTGGGACTGCATTGCAGCGAGGAGACGTGCCATCAGCTCGACTTCTTGCCTTTTAAGTGTGATGGTTGCCGCAAGGTATGGTGACGAATTCCTCTAGTGTAGAATTATCTTGAATGCAATTCTTATCCGTATTTCTTAGTTCTTTTTGTCCGGAATTTTCCGGTGCTGATGGTCTCGGTGTTCAATCCCCACTGGCAGGTCTTTTGTCTGGAGCACCGGACCTACAAGGCACACAGCTGCGCGAATGCGAATCACAAGGACGTCAGCGTTCAAATATGCCCTGTTTGCGCAATGAGTGTGAAGACCGTGTTTGGAGAAACCGTCGAGCTCACAATGAAGAAACACCAGCAGAGCAAAACCTGCGACCCAAGGAATTACGTCAAAATGACCAAGAAACCAAAGTGCCCCGTGCGGGGATGCCGCGAATTGCTAACCTTCTCCAACAAATACTGCTGCAATGCTTGTCAGAAAACTGTGTGCCTTCGACACAGGTTCCCTTCAGATCACGCCTGCGGGATCGCTCCAACTAGAGCGACAGCGCAAACTGCCGCAGGATCGAAGTTTCTGGCGTCGTTTGCGTCACGACATTCGGACATGGATTGTGGCGCCGAGAGCAACCGGATGGCGTCGCTCTACATCTTCGAGAAGAAAATCGACCAGGAGAAAACGCCCACGGTGAAACCCTAGTTTGATTCCGAAGCAGCTCTTTGTACACATATCGACGTAGAACGATGCCCACATGAATTTAAGATCGCGAGCTCATTTTATAGAACAAAATCCCCCCCCCCCTCGAATTTTTTGGGTATTCGCTCCTGATCGTTGATTTTTGGCCTCAACGAGATGCTTAGGGTAACGATGATTTAGGGTTTTACTGTTGCCCAATGTGCGATATAATTCGCTAAATCAACATAAAAAAGGGTTCCCATCACCTTTTTAGATCATGTTGAAATCTGAACTTGGTGACTTGTAAATTCAAATGTTTCCTCAAGGGGAACTTTAATCTAAATTTATGACTTTTTAAGAGACAAACATGTTCTTCTTTAAATCCTTGAAAAGATTGTATGTGTAATTAGTAAATACCATTTTATAAATGGTACATTCAACATTGTAATCTTAACCAATGTAACTTTAAGTGAGTATTTAATATCATGTTTTGTAAATTCTATTTCATTATCTAAATTAATCAAAAATTAAAAAAATAAAAACAAAGAAAAGGTTTTATATTCAAATTTGAAGATGAAATTTTTTCTTTTGCAATTTGTAATTTTTCATATGGCTTGTCAGAGAAAAATAGAAGAGGTTTAAAACAATAAATGATGATAAAATTCGTAAAGTAATTTAATTGAATAATGGGATAAGAATACCAAAATATTTTAAAGCGTTGCTTGTTCTAAAATATATAGAAAATCACTAAAATGTAATGTTAGATACCATCATTAGCTTAATATGTTTATATTCTATTATAAATTTACTTAAAAACCAAAATGTATGACAAACAATAAGTTATATGTATGTATCTCGAAATATATAATATGGTTTAGATTTTCAATTTATTACTCTATTTACTAAAGAATTTAAAATTATTTTTGTAATTTTACAAAAATTAAATTATAATACTTTATTTAATATTTGTGTGATATTTTATTATTTAAAATTTTAGAATAGAAGTGTACATAAAAAAAAAAATGTTGTATCTATTCTTTAATCTTGTGATATCTTCACTTTAGTCTTTGTAGTTCTTCATTTATATAACTATGATATTTTGGCACAATTATCTTTTTTATTTTGGCACTTATCAAATCTTTTAAATTTTACTTTTACTTCTCAATTATTTTGTTATGTAATTTTAAAATTATGTATTAGGACATTTAGTTATGTTTTAATTCAAAGATAACTTCTACTTATAATATTAGTAGTTAATTAATTAGATATTTTAAAGAATAATAAAGGAATATTGAATTAATTCCTATATATATATATATATATATATATATATATATGTATAATTTTTGAAGTATTTTTTAAAATGCTTTAAAAGAGTTTTGCATAAGTCTATATACATTTAACAATACTTAGAATACTCTAGAGGAAATTAAGTATTCTTCCAGAAAAACATATATTATTTTAATAATACTAGAAAACTAATTTATTTTCTTAATTTTACATATGCTTTTGTGTATATATACAACTTAACTATAATGGTATTTTATATTAGCATCATATAATTAATAATATTAATATTATAAAATACAATTAATAATGTACTTAGTGATCATATTTAAAGATTTTTTTTATTATTTATAAAACATATATATTGTTTGAAATAGATATTTTAATTTTAAGATTTATTAATTTAAATGTTTTGTATGTATATATGTATATATGTATGTATGTACTAAATCATTTTTTTCAATGAGATAAAGAAAAATAAGAAAACCACACAATTTGTAATACTAAAGCTATATTTATTAACTATTGTAAAACTACTTCAATGCTTTTTTGATTGCCAAATTTGTATTACTTCTACAAATGTGTGATATAATGAGAAAAGCTGAAGTTTTTGTATAAGTTGTATAAAAACTCAAGTTTATATCAAATTGCAATTACTTGTGAAAATAAAAATGACAAATTTAATTATATTAAGAAAAAAATTTAGTTTTAAAATTCATATGATAATAATAATAATAACAACAACAAAAATATATGTCTTAAAATCTAATACAATTATATAAGTTTTAACTAATAAGAAATTACCACCAAATTGGATATAAGGGTAATGATCATTCATATGAGATGTTCATCTCAACAAAAAACTTGACCATGTCAAAAATTCTTTGGCAAAATTATAGCTTTTGATAGCTTAGGGGTGATGATACAAGCCTAAGGATAGAGCTAGCATAAAGGTAAGATTATTTTAAAGATAAAGTAGACCAACATTAGCTCCAAAAAAGATGTAACATATGAAATCGATGTTGTATTTGTAAGACAAATTAATATGAATACATGTAGCTAATCAAGTGCCATCAACTAAATTTGAATTTTAAACTTTTTGAGTGTTACAAACCATCTATCTATATCTAAGAGAATCCTTGGCACATTTCCATTTAATATAATATAAATTAATTATTCAAAGCAAATATTCTTACCTTCTTGACTACTTGCTTGTCCATTGCTCTTAATTTGAGAATAATGAGTGGGTAAAAGACAAGAGATAAAATCTGTTTTATTTCAACATCAAACTCAACATTATAGATGATAATCTACATGAAAATATTTAGTCTTGAAATTGAGTTTTATGGAGAGTTTTGCAAATAATATATATATATATATATATATATATATATTTATTTACCTACAAAATATATTAGAAAAAACATTAATTTAAATCCATATTAAAAAAAAAGATTGATAGTTATAAATAAATGAAAAATAAATTAAATAAAAATAATAAATAAATTAATATTAGTTTTAATATATGGAATTATTAAATATATGTATAAAATTTTAATTTTTAATAATAATAAAATATAGATTTTTTTCTTAAAAAAAATCATAAAATATAAATATAATTATGTTATTTTTCAAACTTCTCTGTTTATCTTTCTTACACAATATATATATATTAAAAAAGATTCTATTCATAAAATAAATCATTAGATTTTATTAAATACTTTTTTGACCAGATTTAGGATTTAGGGTTTAGAGTTACAAGGGCGTGCCATAGGTTTTTGATCCTAAATATCTCACAATTTATCATATAATTGTCAGTTTTGAAATTTTTCCAGAGTATATGTTGCCACAAAGACATGTACAAATGAATTTTTTTCTCAAAATTATATGTTTAATTTTTTGGATTTAGGGTTTAGGGTTTAGGGTTATCAAAGTGTTTTAGAGGTTTTTGATCCTAAAACTCTCAATGTATCACAGTTTTTTTTATTCTCAAATTTTGCTAAGGCTTATATGAAAAAAATTGTGATACAGGTTTAGGGTTTAGGGTTTAGGGTTACAAGGGTGTCCCCGGTTTTTGGGCATCATTATTTTTGGATTTTGACTTGACCTACCCACCCATTTATGGTGTCTAGAATGTCAATGGTATAATTCTTTTCCTATACAAGTTTATAGTTTGGAAGATTTAGCTACTTTGACTTGGAGTTTAGGGTTTTGACTTTTGTCATACAAGGCTTTTTAAAATTTTTGAAAAGTCCATTGGATTTGTTTGCGGGTTGCCAATTATAAATATGTACTTGAAGTTTTGAAAAGGTGCATATATTTGTAGTTATTAAGTATTTGACTATTTTGACTTTTGAGTTGACTTTGCATATGAATAGAAATTTTAAAGTTTCGATTTGAGCTACCTCCCTATTTTAAGGGTCTAGGAATCTAGTGATGGTTTTGAAATCCTATACATGTTTTTCAATTTTGAGATATAAGGTATTTGACTTGATACAATTTTCTGTTGACTTTTTGTGTACTTAATTGTTTTGAATTTTTTGATTTGACCTACCCCCCCCCCCCCCCTTCCTATTTGTCATGCTTTTGATTCCAATGGTATGTTTAAAATTTTCAGCAAATTAATAGTTTAGGAGATATGAGATTTTCAAAATAGTAAAATTTGCCTTTCATTAATATATGAAAAAAATATTATAAAAATATGAAATAAATACATAGAGACTTTTGGACATTATAATAATCTATTGGATAATTTATATAGGTAAATGTCTTTTTTTTTTTTTGAAAAATATCATATTTATACTATATGGACATATGATTTAACTTTATATTATATGTGTTCTAAGCCTATGCAATGGATTGAACATGATTCCGCCAATTTGCACCATATTCTTGAATGAAGTCGCGAGCTCCTCCAACATGATCTTCATACACTCCATCCTTTTTCCAATATGCACCACTATTGATCTTCTTTAACATCAAGCCATCTACACATCTATCTACGACCCTACTATAAACAAACCAATGTGCATTGTGAAGAAATTCAAAGATGAGAGGATGAATATTTGGATCATCTTGCTCCCAACCATCGTAGAGGAATTGCCCCACTTGTATCAATGCTTGTTGACTTGCTTGGGCACTTCTCCACTCTCTTTCTTATTGAAGTTGTCACTCCATATGCTTGCTACTCCATCCTATTGCTTGTCTAGCAAATGTTAAGGCACTCTTGACTCGAATAGAAGGTGCATATGAATTTCTTCTATGAATCTCATTGGCCAACGTTGCTAAATGCCTATGGCCAAGTTTTAGGGTTTAGGGTTTAGGGTGTCCTAGAAGTTTAGGGTCCTAAATATCTCTCAACGTGTCACTCGTTTTTTCATTTTGAAATTTTTCCAGGTTTAGGGTTTAGGGTTACATGGATGTCCTAGAGGTTTTCCATCCTCAATATCTCTTTATATATCACATCTTTTTCTGTTTTAAGATTTTGCCAAGGCTTAGAATCACCCAAAGACCTCTACAAACGTTTTTGTTTTTCAAAAAAATGTGTTTCATTTTCTGTAATTTAGGGTTTGAAAACCCTAATTAGGATCTCCACACCCTGTTTACAATTCTCACTTGCATATTTTTTCTCATCAAACAACTGTATATGGAGTCTAAATGCGTACAGAACACTGCTTACTGAAAGCAATCCCCCATAGATAAGTAGTTCACCTAGTCTAAGTCCAGAGAATCCTTCGGGCTTCTCGCCCCTATATCTTTGCCCGCTCTCCACCTGCTGCACCACCGGCTCTCCTTCCATCAGGATCATCGTTGACGAAGTGAATATCAGCTCCATCTTCGACTTCTGCAAGACTCCCGCAGGCGACCAAGGTGCCTACCCCTGATGCATCCGTGAGTGCAGCCTTCGAGACTACGCCGCTTACTGCAGTGTCGCCTATACTCACATTACAAATTCTGCAAAATCAGACATCGACACGCTCGTTAATCACCCCGCACTCACGTCCATTTCTCAACCGACTCCAATAACAGAGGGCTCAGCGGCAGTCGATACCGTGCGAGCCCGACCAGCATCGACCTAG